TTATTTATTGGTTCTGATAGAGGAGAATAGGTCCACCCCCAGTCTTTCCTTAGATGTCGTAGACTATCATTCCTCTCCAACCTGTCTGGCCATCGCATCGTGGGGAATGTAGGACAACCAAATCATCCAATTGTCTCTGGTAAATAGAGGGAGTGCATGCTCCTGCAGTACTCTCACTATTTTAGATAAATAAATGAATCTTCTTTCGCCCCTCTTTCAAAGTAAGTATACATACATTGTCTTGTCTCCATCATTCAGAGATCTATCATCAGTCGCCGGAAGCAAACGTAATGGACGAAATTCGACACTGGCCCACGTTCCCATTTTATTTACTTCCCCTGGGAATAGCTTGTAATTTGCTGGACTATATCTTGTTAAGATGTAGAAAGTAGTATCAAGTTATTTAAGTGTTCTGGAATGTCATCTTTTTTCATAAATCACAGGATTAGGATTTAGATATTACCTATATGTTTCTATGAAAGTAGTAAGAAGAAAATGGAAAAACAGTAAAATCTTCCGATCCAATACAATGTGACTCACTTTTCATTAATTTCCCAAGAAAATGACATGTTTCTCACATTCTAATTGACATATGTGCCGGAATCCAGAGAAGGGAAAACAATGCGCCTCTCGTACATTGTTGTCGAAGCGTTTAATTAAAAGGGAGATGCAGCCGTGTGAGTGCAACCCATTTGTGCGCCGTCTGGTGAAGAATACCCCGACCTAATTCAATGGGGCGAAGTAGGACGTTAGGGTGAGGACATACTCTACGGAAAAACTTTTCCGTGTACACACACAAAAGTTACTTATTTGACGGAAAAAATAACACAATTACCGTTGTGGGGAGAACCCATTTTTCAACTACAACAGGGAAACTCTTGGCTTTCTTTTCACGTTAAAGAAATAATCATGTAGAATCCTAGACATTGGAGGAAAATATACCTACTGGTTTTTTATTATAACTGACCAACCAATGACCATAGTAAATTGATCATAAATTTTAAGAGAAAATTCACGTCATGGTATTGTCCTAAGCGATATTAGTTATCTCATGCATCTTATTTTGTCTTGTTTAATGATTAATAAATCATTATTCATCATATTCTAAGCCACGTTTAAAGACTGTTCTTAAAAAGAGTCTCAAATGAGAGTAGCTTATACGAGTACTTAATAAATATTTGCTTGCCAGTTTTCAGGACAAGCAATTTTTGCATTGTCATTAATCCATTATAGACTAGCGGTCCCATATGGTACCACTTTTTTGTGTGTTTTAATTTGGCTCTATTCATTAATACATGAAAAGATGCAGTGCTCTGATTGATGCAAATCGTAGCCAATAGATATGGTCTATGCTTCTAGGAATAAAAATTGACAGTTATTCTTTTCAGTTGTGTGTAATTAATGATTGAAGTGAGCGCATCAAAATTTTCTCTTAAAAATTGACGCGCCATTCAAGTAAGTGATCATATTTTTTTTGTGTGATAGTGAAATACTGATTTTGTTACAATCTTGTATTCTCCATAAGTGCTCTTATTGTGAAATGATTTAAAATTACGTCGATAGGTAATAATAATGGGAAATACTGTATGTCAAAATTACTGGTACCGTACGGTACCGCTAGCCGCTTACCGTGTCTTTTTAATTATTTTATGATTTTTAGTTTTTACTGTATTTATTGGGAAGCATGCGATATATTCAATGGTACATAAAGTATACAGGAAGATAAAGTAAAATAGTTTCCTATACTTTACAAAACCATGGGTTTTTATTTATTTTAGATGTAACTTTCACGAAACATTGGCAATTTTGGAGGACGATGAAGGTCCCAAGACGAAGCAGATATTTATAGAACGTACTCGAGATAATTGCAACTCTCGAACAATATTAGAGTATAGGAAATGTTACGTGGGGCTAAGGGCAGCGTGCAATGCCAAGCTCCATTCCAAATTTTTGAATATTCAAAGATAAAAATGAATATTCCTTACCCAATATACAGTTTTTTCTACATTTAATATCACTTCTGTTATTTGCTTGTTTATTAATACATATAATAATAATAATAAAATACATAATTTACCCTATTTTTATAAAGTTCATGATAAAGTTATGTTTTAATCGACTGACACGGTAAGAGGCTAGCGGTACCATATGGTACCAGCATTTTTTTTCTAGATTACAGGTCGGGTCATTTTTTTAATGCTTGTATAGCATTATGTAGACCATAATTATGAACATATTTCAAAAAAACAAAAATCTGACACTTTAAGAAAACTCAGTCTATAATGGGTTAAATGATGCGATTTGGGTATTTTGGTGAAATTACTAAAAAAATTCATATAAAAGTAGCCGCCTGGCATGGAACGTGTTATGGGGGCTGAAAATATAGGAAATGACCCATTCTATCCGCCAAATAATTTTGGCACACGATGCGCCAAACACCCTGTATTATTTTATGCACATCGATTTGGGAGATGTTCTGTATTGTAGTTGTCGCAGCCAAATTGTATTATAATATTGGACGGGTTTTGGAAATAGCTCGGCGTTCCACTTTTATGATTTACTTACTTACATTTTGCACGTAAATAAATAACATGAATCCTATGTTTACTTTCCACTCTTGACATTTAACACGTGACTTACCAAACTAACTATCTCCATGGTTACCGTCTTAGTCTATGCATGACTAGGGATTGAACAACTTTTAATTGAATATTATTAACAATTCTCGATAATTATTATCGATTGAAAAATATTCGGTATTTGAATCGAAAGATATATTCAATTTTATCAATATCAAAATATTCAATTTTAATAATAAAATAAATATTATTTACTACCACCTATGAAATGTTCTAAAAATTGCCTGGAGCGCTCCCCCAATCCTGGGTTTTCCCTTTCCAAGCTGAGAGGATATCATTTTGGTTCTATCGATACATTATAAAGGTACTTAATATTTGAAATGTATTCGCCCTTCTCGTGGCTGAAGGAGGTCTACACCGTGCTGCCTTACAAGTAGGTGGACTTGGTGGACTTAGCTCTTATGTGCTTGACTTAGAGTATACTTTGCAGTGATGTTAACTCTTACTACGTCATCGCATACTTCCACACGCTGGCGTCGTCCGCCAACCACCCGCCTTTCTCGTGGCTTAAGGAGGTCTACACCGTGCTGCCTTACAAGTAGGTGGACTTAGCTCTTATGTGCTTGACTTAGAGTATACTTTGCAAAGGACAATGTTCGTTCTCCATACATTGTTCGCCTAAAGAACCAACAATTTTGACATATTACTACCCGAAAGCGAAATAATACGATTCTGTGTGTAAGAACAATGATTCCTGATGGACACTTGCCATAAAATTAATGTTGTATGAAAAAATCTAAACCGCGTAAGATAGACGCTTGAAATTTGGCATGCAGGTATCTTAGTAAACTTAAAGCTTAGTTACAACAGGATATTGCAAAATTCCCACGGGAACGAGAGTTAGCGGGAAAAAACATTTGTATGAAAAAATCTAAACCGCGTAATATAGACGCTTGAAATTTGGCATGCAGGTACCTTAGTAAACTTTAATCTTAGTTACAACAGGATATTGCAAAATTCCCACGGGAACGGGAGTTACCGGGAAAAAAAATTGTATGAAAAAATCTAAACCGCGTAAGATAGATGAAGGGGGTAAAACGGGATCCACGCGTACGAAGTCGCGGGCGGCCGCTAGTTAATACATATAATAATAATAATAAAATATATAATTTACCCTATTTTTATAAAGTTCATGATAAAGTTATGTTTTAATCGACTGACACGGTAAGAGGCTAGCGGTACCATATGGTACCAGCATTTTTTTTCTAGATTACAGGTCGGGTCATTTTTTTAATGCTTGTATAGCATTATGTAGACCATAATTATGAACATATTTCAAAAAAAACAAAAATCTGACACTTTAAGAAAACTCAGTCTATAATGGGTTAAGTACCTACCTTGTCTTTTTTCTTCTTCATCAGTGTGTTCTCACCTCACACTTGGCACAAAGTTCTCTCCAGTCTATGTATAATGAACACGCGACGTGCATCATAAGTACCTATAAACAATGAGTTTGACAGAAACCGAGTCTTTATTCCAGTCTTTATTCCATGGGGCTGTCTCTTCAGTTGACACCTTTACAATAGCTGACAACGCATCAACCATGGAAACATAACCTTTCTATTATAGCCTCCTCCTGTTAATGACTTGGGGGGTATTTTCTTGTCAGTGATGAATGATTGAGCAATCTCATGATCAAACACCATTAACCTTTTGGAAAACATTATTTTGTCTGTGAAAATCTACATTATTTGACGCCGCATATTTCTGAAAGTTACAATTAATACCTTGCAAATCCCAGACTGGGCCCTTACTGTATTTTATCTGTAGCCGTCTGAATCCCTGAAGTGCGTCATCCAGCCGGGATAACGTCACGGTAATTCAATCGCGGTGACGTCACCGCCAGACCCGTCTTCCGACCGGTCACCCCATCGATCGTCGGATACCGCCCCACAGGGAGGGCGTGCCGGAGGGTGCCCTTTTATTACGAACAGAAATTCGGTGTTGTCAGGACATTCTTAGAACTTCACCACCAGACACGACAGTTGGTAACAGTTCTTTGGAAACAGTATCTGTTTTATGTCCTGAAAATCAATTTCACTAAGTAGTTTTTCCTGAAAATTTGAAATCTTTTGAGCATTAAGAATTTCGTAAGAAAGTACATTATGATAATGCATCAAAACATTGAGACAATGTAATTTTAAGATGATCTATATCTATTCATCAACGAGGGCATTATAAGAAGTCACAAAAGCAATCTTCGTTGAATCTAGTCTAGACTTTCACACGACACCAGAATAATGTAGATGAATAATATCTAATAGACAGTCGTAAAATTTTACGATGTTCAGCTACAAAATTACCCCATTTTCGGGTAAAACACCCGCGCGCCAATCCGCGCATCTCGCGACGGCCATGCTCCTTCAGTCGAACCGCGACCACTGCGCAGGGCACACGACCGCGCCGTATCGACCGCCCCTAGCGCGTATAAACAACATCGCAATCGGTTACCGAATCCTAATCCAATTGTTTTAGAAGAGTAATCTGTAATTTAAAAATCTGGAACGTGCAAGGACTAAGGAGACTGGAGATATCGCATATCTGTAATTAAATATTTGAGTGTTTTTTAAATGTTAAGGTTATATTCGAAATTAGTTTGACAAAACTGTATGAGGCATTTCCTTCAGTTGACTCAATCAATCGAAAGGCCAAACATAACGCCGCGGAAGCCGGCTCCAACAACCATGTTTTGATTCCTGTGTGCGCCCAATACACGAATGTATCGCAAACAAATGTGCCGGCAAAAGTCGGTTATTATTTTCCATTTCAAGTCCATTTTGAATCCTTATTTTTTGTGAATTTTATAAATAGATACGATTGATCGTTAAAGATTTATCCTGCTCTTCTTCTTCTTCTTCTTCTTTATTTATATTTATACATTTTGTCTATCCTCATTAAATCATCTGTAGGCGTAAGTAGATTAATATCGACATTAGTTTTATTTTTAACGGTTTAAGTAACTAAAATTTTTCCTCTCATTATAATTGTAATTATATAACACTAGCTGACCCGGCGAACTTTGTTCCGCCTTAATGGCAATAAATAAGCAGACTTTTTTAAATTTCGAACGGGATAAAAAGTATCCTATGTCCTTCTCCTGGCTCTAAACTACCTCCCTGACAATTTTCAGCTAAATCGGTTCAGCCGTTCTTGAGTTATAAGTGGAGTTAATTATCATAAACTTAACACGTACCTACACATTTATATTTACCTAAAAAGATATTTTCAAGATTGTAATTGTTCTTAATCTTGCTAATTAATTCTTTCGTTTAATTTTTTCTCATTTCTTATAATACTCATAATGATTTTATAAATTGTCGATCCCAAAATAGCACTTGGTTCTGAGCACTTTCCAGAAATATGTGCGCATGTACATTTCCTTGACTTATTTGGGCTTGATCAAAATGCAGCGCAGGGCATGAGTCAGGTCGCGAATTTGTTGACAAACTCTTTCGCTTATTTAACTGTGCTGTATCACGCATTCACTTACTTGTCATGAATGGCCCATTAAAGAGGACTAAAAACTATGTCCAATATTGTCTATATCCCTCTCTGAAAACAAATTCAGAGGTGTTTCCAAAGTGGACCCATTTATATCAAAATCGTTTGGTCAAGTTGACCCAGTCTGTTTAGTTTCACCACAATTCCCAATGTTCTACTTTTATCTTGCAGTTTATTTGCGCCTCCGGCTTTAAACATTGCGAGTCCATCGGTCCCAATTGTATCTACCGTATTTTTACAACGATTGCACGTTAGACCATATTTTTTGTAGCAAAACAGCACCTGTTACAATTACAATAAGATACCACAGTTTATGTGCTGTCGCCTGTACAACCATTTCAGATCATTTCCCTGGTCTGACCTTTATCAAACAGTGTTGAGCCGGAAACCACACGTGACCCTGATATAGTTAAATAGCGAACCAACAAATTGACACACTCTTGCGTAAATATTATGTACCGTTTTGTGTTTAATTTCTACATAACTATTGTTTACTGCTAGTGCACTTCAAATGTTGTAATTCCTAGTTGTTAAACTAAAACTCTACAAGATAATTTGATCGCATTAATTTGTTTATATCTTTTTTTGCGATTCTGGTTTATACTAATCGTCCGGCATATTATCATTACCATCAACATCAGGTCATTTTGTATCCACTCCTAGAGCACGAATCCCTAATTTACCAGAAGCAAATGGAGGATTCTGCCCTACATTCCCTATGCTAGCCAGACGACTGGAGGGGAGGGGATTTTGTGAATATAATATTCGTTTCCAATTGACTCTTCGAATTCTCAAAAATAGTAACAAAATCCGCAAATACTTAAACAATCATTGCAGTATCTTTTGTCAAACGCTATCAGACTTTAAAACCGGAAGCAAAAACAGAATCTTAATTGGTCTGACTTGGAACAGCAAACTGACGTACTTTTGCGCACATTTATTACTCATACTCATTACTATTTATTTACGCAGTTCGTCACATTACTTTTGTTAGTCATATTTGCAGTAAGATTTATTGTTATTATAAGAAACTACTGTCTTAACAGATAGTACGTTAAAATTTCCATTAGAGCCTTAAAGTAGAGCTAAAGTATTTAAATTCACAATAACAGTTCTTTATTATTTCTACGTAGAGAAGTTTCAGGGTTAACCGTGTCTTTAATTTCATCGTATCACGTTTCAGTAAATCAAATTGTCTCATTATGTGTGGATCTACATATAAGATGTTTGAATAATTCTAAAGTTGCAACGATAGCCTATTGTGATCTAAGATCGGAGAATACCGGCAATTTACGTCCCCGTGTCATGTAACAAAGCAGCAATAATGGCTGCGAGGGCTATCAAGTCACTGAGATGTTCTGATATCATTGTACTGCACCAGGTCAGTGCAGTCATTCAGTTATTTATATAGTTGACTCACAATAATTAAGCATGATTAGTTATGACCCTGAACATTATTTGTCTTTGTTTACAGCTTTTTCAGTTGTTCCATTTTAGAATCAGATATTTCAAGACAAATATTCCGATTTGTCACTGAATTCATCTTTATCTCTTGATGGATTTCTGATAAATGCTCAATAGTATTTATCAAAGTATACCTAAGATTTGATATTGCCCTTCTCAATTTTTGTTACAAGATTAGTCACCGTAGGTAACCTTTGTTTCCATTCTCTCTTGGACAATCTCTTTAATGACGCGAAATACACTTTTTGCTAATCACCTCGCGTTGTTTCTACTTTAGTCGTAAAATTTTGTATTATACAGAGGACAGAACATTGACCTAAACATTGTGGCATCTAATGTGTTCTAATAGCTATTTCCCAACTGTATTATAGTTTGATGTGATATCGACTGTACATCAAACAGCCAGTAATATCAGACGCGATGGCCTTTCGGAATTAGTGTAACGCTGTTAGTCTGCAACCTTTAGATTAGGCCATTGTTTCCCTCGCAAATGCCGCATCGATATCGGCGGCTACCGTGGATAAACGCCATAACTTGCGGTTAACGAGCACGCTAAAGCGCCCGAGTCACGTTCTGGTACTTCAAGGGTTTCCACGTGTTGACGTGTCTTCCACTTCGGCTGGACTGGTCGCAACTGGCTGAGGCTGCCTAGTGCTTGCTGCATTCGCGATTGTAATCCTACCTACATCGGCTTAGGATTTAAGATCGATAGCTTTTACCTGGGTACATCGAAATGACCAAGAACCACCAGAATTCACCGGATTCAATTTCGACCTAATAATAAACAAGTTTTACCGACGCGTGATCACAGAAATTAACCGAAAGCAATCTTCATTAATGAAAACCAACCTCAAATCATTATTGGTTTTCATAATTAATTCTTTATTTGCTTGACGGTTGTGATTAGTTGTATCACTTCCGTAAAAATTATACTTCCTCTAAATGGTCACTATTCCTAGTTTTTGAAAGACAAATTCTACTATTTTCTGGTGTAATACCTGATTGGTCGGTCTGGGATATTATGAATTCATGATTGTAGATGTTGAGTACCTACTTGTTTCAGCAGAAACCATGAAAATCACAATACTATGCTTATGCTACGATACACAAACTATGCATCACGTAATAGTTGCATTCACTTTCAACATTCCTGTCTTTATTGTTCGTTACCAAAGCATGCACTTCCTGAAATAAAACGATTTCAGTAGCTGAGTCTACAGTGCATTTAATTTAGCATTTAGGTGGATCATACTTCACCTTGGTACCACTTGACGACGCTTAGTCATCGGCGATTACATTACACGAGAAATATTAACAAGGCATTCGTGTCGCATAGGGTTAGAGCTAACATTGTGGTTGACGTGAATTATACACGGTTGACTGATTCCCGCATCACTAGGTTCTTATTATAAAACATCGTTTACATCTTCAATATTATCCACTATAACGATATTATTGTAACGACACAGGTTTTTGTTTTAATGAGAGTTTATTACTGCTGTACTTAAATTTAATTTTAATTAAACTCCAAACAACGACTAATTGTCAAGTACGGATAGCAAAGATCATACATTATTTCACTGAAGGAAATCCTCATTCAGTTAAGTCAATTTTACTTTTACAGTTTTGAGTATCGTCATAAGAATAGTTGAAAGTTATAATTTAAACGAAGTAGATGAGTGTCCGGACAATAGTGAATAAATAGTGTGGTATAACGAACACAAACCAGTGCAAAATGGCGATGGATACGATGGCAGTGGAGATGCCCGACCTATCGGCGCACGCGCCTCCTCCTCCTGTAGAAGAAACGCCAGAAGAGAAGTGAGTTTTATGATTAAGAACTTTCTAATAAGATCGCTAAGGCATATTCTTGATTGTAAATTCAAAACTAATGAATAATTTATAAACCTAACCAATATTTTGACGCAATTTAATTATTACTAGAATCACATCATTATCAGAGAAAGCAACACAACCAAAACAATAGTGATTATGAAAATTGTCGCTAAAATGGGTTTCTAAATAATTACATGTTTACAAGCTATTATTAGCCGTTTAATTACACAGCGAATTAGCGACGAGCATTAATTGTTTCGTGCGCTGCCTTAATTGTTGTTTCGTCGAAATTGCTCGTTTAAAAACTTATGTTTATGCTCCCATCATAACGCACGACTACCGTTTGACATGCGCCAACTGTTTTTAAACTTGTGTGAACTTCGGGACGTATCAATCCACACACATACCTACCTACCCTTTTCAAAGTTAATGGCTTTGAATATTTGATGAGTCCATTGATCCGCCACTTTACTATATTCCCCATTATCAGTATTATCTTTTCTAACTTAATGGAATAGCTAAATACATGTAGGTATAACTCGCTTTATGTATTTATTTATGTATTAGTTGTTCACCAAAAGAGATTTGCTAACACGTAGAAAAAACTCATCATTCTAATGAAACCTGTCAATCCTGCAAAGTGGATTTCGGGCAAACTAAGGACAAAGCAACAAGTCTTACGTCAGATATGGTGATGATATGCAGATTTGTTTGTACGGCATCTGCTCGGAAGCTTTCTCATAACATTTTCAGCAAATTGCTTTATCTGAATCTTGTATTTTCAGTTCAGTTTATTTTCTCATGCTCGTTACGATACGAACTGCTTAAGGTGTGTATGTAGGCAATGATTGCAATTAGATAAATTCTCATACTACTTGTTGTTACACACACATACATACATTGCGGGAGGTGCCTGGATGCGGGCGGCGAGAGACCGGTCTTTGTGGAAAACCTTGAGGGAGGCCTTTGTCCAGCAGTGGACGTCTTTCGGCTGAAACGAACGATGTAGTTGTACTTATTTATGGATGATCTTTGCTACATAATCTACAACGTATAAAATGTAATAGAGAAGGATTTCAGCCATATTAATAGATTTTGTGACATCCAATACTTGAGGACACTACAAGAGTGTTTTTCCCAAAATATCGGATAAATTATGTGACAGCGGCACGCTTGCTGTGACTCGGAACGGAGTTTATACATCGGCACCTTTATTGAAGCGACATGGTGAATGATCGCTTGTACGTGATTCTCCTTTATGAGTTTACCTCGCGTCTTCCAGACAGTTATAAACGATGCTCCCGAATTCCACATCTTTTAAATATTTATGTTGGTTGGTATATTAAATTACCTACCTAACCTTTTTCCTTTCTTCAGTCGTCCCTAATGTACGGAACTCCTAAGATATGTCTTGTAAACACGTTAATTGGGTCGGAAACTGCCGTTGCCTTGGGAGTTTCGGCGTCCAATTCCGCCTGTTGATCTAGTGGCAGTGTCCAAGTGATTGAGGATTAGGTAATAAGGTTAATCGCTTCTCGAGAAAGCGTTGATACGCGGCCCCTTCATTAATTTGGCGTTGACACAGATCCTCTTGACATCATTTGAAGATGTCAGTTTCAGGAAGCTTCCAGAAAATTGATTTTCTCCTGTAGTGACAACACAAGCACACCAAAAATATTTTTACCCTTGTCATAGAGACAAAGAAAACTACCTAACTGACGATCTCAACCGATAACATTATCTCAGTTATCAAAATATGTACCTTCTTATTAATACTATTAAAAAGCTCAGAAGGCAGGAGCTTATGCACATGACAATTAACCTCTTTACATTAAACACTAAGTGATTACTCTATATCCTCCAAGGATTGTTCTAGAATGTCTAGAATCTAGCCTCAGCTGGTGTAGTTGCGCGGGCGCAATCAAACGTGCGGTCATGTCCGACATGTGGTCGCTGCTATCAGTCGGGTGGCCGCGGCTGGTCGATGCAGCACGTGACTGTCTAGTGACTATGTGGCTTTGACACCTGACGCAATTTGAAAAGTATACACCACTAAATTTTTATCACCGAAAAAATTTTAACAGGTTATGTAGAAACGTGTGGAATATTGAAAGCAAAAGAAAAAGAAATGGTTTTCATGAAATTATTTTTTTTATTAAATTTTCGTTAGTCCGTATTTTACGCGTCACAGCTGGGTCACTCCGCTGCTCGCTAGAGTAGTCGTACGCGCTCGCACGTTGCATCAATCTGTCTGTCTCGCTCACGCCTCGACCACGCTTCCAGTGTTATTATTACATACCTAGCTAACTTAGACCATTTTTAATTCTAATAAGTGTTACATTATCGTACTTAAATAGTGCTAGCGACGCGTGTGTCAATAAATTACCAATTTTAGGAGGATATTTTGAGTCACTTTATTTTACTCTTTTTTTTGCACAAATGGGATCAGTATCAATAACTCATTACCCAGAATTTTTTTTTTCGGTGATTAAAATTTAGTGGTGTAGAAGTATCAGCGTGATCAGAAAAAACGTAATGTAAACCTTCAAAATAATAAACGTTAAGATCGGTAAATAAATTGTACTTGGAGCCTGCAAAAGCTTTTGTGCCACAACTATAGAAAGGATTCAATATCATATACTGCATCAAATAAAAAGTTGTACGCGTTTATATGTATAAGAAATAGGATAATTTCTTTGTGTGTCTAAGAAATAATGTGATGATACGTCATTTCAGGCTTGAATCAACCTGAAAGAATTATGAAGAAGTGCTGCCGCATTAAATCGTTTGGTCCGATTGGGCGATGTCTTCATTTATTATTAAAACCTATACGACATTGATATAGTTCCTACAACTTTACTACTTACAACCTTATCTAAAAACTCCTCATCTGTTTTATTTTATTAAAGACATCATTTCTTTTAACCCCACACGAGACCCAAACAAAAAGTCCGGATGAGAAGGCTATTACTATAAAAGGGAAGTCTAATATCCTTTTCAGTCGTAAAAGTAACCGGCACGTAATGTAGTTCTTGAAAATGGGATGGTTGAGAATAGGTAAGGCCGTGCGCCTACTCGAATGATCTTGCAGCACGGCCCCACCCGCTTTCATTATTTTCCACTCTTTACGACAGGCGACACAAGTGTCGTAGACAAGTCTAGACGCTATCAAGTCTACGTCAGGGTTGCCAGGTAAACGATTATGACATCTTTTTTTACAATACGCTAAGGAGAATTTGATGGGATGAGCGATATCTGTAAGGGCTGTCATTTTTTAGAGCAATAAAGATTTGATAGATGTCGCTGCCGATATTGAACTGATGTCTTTTTAATGTTCCCATATCACACTCGTGTTCTAGTGCAAAATTCGAACCAAACTAGGAACCAACAAGGTTGCAACTTGATCGTAGAAACGACCAGCAGATCTGTGGCAATAACACATAAATTTTTCTGTCGATATCAAATGAATCATATCGTGAAAAATGATTGGATTTGACCTTTTATTGCGAACACTTACATTCCTCGGACACCTGGCAACCCTGAACGGTGGAGGGCCGTAAAAGTTAATGCGGCGGGCGAGTCCCGCCCCGGGTCAAGTGCGAGCTGTGCTCATACTTGCTCTATATAACTATTGAACAACAGCTGTTCTGCTCTATAAAGACCATCCTCGTAAACTTAAATCATGTTTGTCAAAAATCACTTCACTCCAAGAGCTGTATTATCCCCACGGTTTTCGAAACCAATATAGGTAGGTATATGACATACCTACTAGCTTTCCGCCCGCGGCTTCGCGCGCGTGGACCCCTGAATCCTATGTTTTTCCAAAATAAAATTTACCCTATGTTACTCGTGGATAATGTAGCTTTCGAATAGTGAAAGAATTTTTAAACACGGTCCAGTAGTTTTTGAGCCTATTCATTACAACCAAACAAACAAACAAAGTTTTCCTCTTTATAATATTAGTGTAGATGGTCAATCAAAGTCAAGGACAGTCAAACCTGTATCGAAGTTGGTAATCTAAAGTTGATGCATGATGGTAGATTCATTGTTTTCTTTCCATTCCTTCTCTTTCTCTATTTTTGGGTTAATTTGCTATGTCCAATGTTGACGAAATATTTACCTACGTTAAAAAAACGGATTATTTTTACCCTTGGAATATACGCAGTTCTCGTGTTATTCACAAGCTGAATACATTGCCAATTGAAATAGGTCTGACTGACGTAACTTATGTATGCTGGCTTAGGATTAAATAAATAATCCGATTAAACTTCGTGTGGATGAAAAATAAATATGTATTCCAGAATTGGATTGAGTGTTGTTAGTCGACATTGAATTAGAATACCTATTTTATAAACTCGTCAGAAATCTCAATTTTGTGTTGTAATTTCAAACGTAAACTTGAATAAGTACAGCCTACTCAATCAAATACGCGTTAAGCACATTACACACGCAACATTATGACGTAATGTTTAGAACTTGGTAACCTTATTCCTCGCGAAATTAAAGCGACTTTACAATAACATTGTCCAGAATGATGTGCCGTCGACTATTCTACTATCCACCCTACCCACTAATAGATAATGCCTAGAAAATGCACCACCAATTCGTAATAAGACCTTGAAGGACCTTCCCCACCCACTGTTTACTCTCGCCTATTACTTTCCGAGCGAAAAAATTTATGGACGTCGTATTTTCCAACGTAGCATTGTTCGTATTTCCATCGTTGTTTGGTTCGAGGCATTAGGTGGCCGTAGTTCGTACATAACTCTAAATGTGATGCATAGCAATGCAGGGGGGGTGACGTCACGTCAATGGCGACTCGGTGGCGCCGACACCCTGCTGAAGGCACCCCCTGGTGTTGATGGAATTAATTTCGATATGAACAGTGATGGATGCGGGGTGCAAACTGTAATAGATTGCAAGCTGTTTTTCTAGTAGGTGTGGCAATCATTGACACAGTGAGAAATATATTATTCGATTAAAAA